CCCTGCCCCCCACGGGTATCGAAACCCGTATTCTAGCGTTGTAAGTCCGCAGACATACCGCTGTGCCACTGGGGGGGGGGACTAATAATAAAATATGTAACTGTTTTTTTTTCTAATTTCAAATGTTTGGTGAAACAGATCAGAAAGCCTAAACCAAACATTCTAGTCATATGATTTTAGAGGAAAAATTGAAATTCTCAGAAATTATTCTAATTTCGTTGTTATATTCGTTAAAACCACACTTTAAGACATAGATTGAAACATTTAACGGAAGAACACATATGAATGAAAATTGTTTATCACATGATGCCCAAATCTAAAGAATTAGTTCTTATAGAAACGCAGTTAACGCTTGTTGTTTTTTTAAAGTTTTGTTTTACTGCATTATGTAGACTATTGAGTTTATTTTACTTAGATTAACATTGTTTTCAAACATTTGGCCACAATTTAAAGTAAATTCTGAAGTGATATTGAAAATGCTTCGCACTTTCATGTGTGGGTGCGTTATAATAATAACAGTCATTTCCACTATTCATTTGTAAATAATAGCCAAAGAGTGGGTGTTGTTGACTATTTGCCTTCCCTCGAGTCTAGCGCTGGTAGCCCTCGAGTAGCTTTGCTCGAAATTCAGCAAAAACAAGAGACCGTAAAAATGACGTAATTATTTTGTTCAATTGTATCCTTGATGGTTTTAAGTCTAAACCAGAGACAGATGTTTTAATACAAATCCTTTTAGGAGTAACTTACACGGAAGACATATCCCCTCGATTTTTTGTTTAAAGTGAGACATGTCCCCTTGATTTTCTGGTTAACGGGGGATGTTCCCCTTCTATTTCATTAGAAGTAGTATTATGTTACAAAATGTGTTCTTGTGGAACATACAGTTATTATACGCTATCATCTCCCAGTTTTGAAAGTAGAGTTGCGCCTCGCTTTTATATCTATATTATTATTTTCTGGCTAACATACATAGGATATAAATGCTTTCACAAACTCGACAGTTTTGTTTTTGAGCTTGTTTTCATACTTGTTAGATCACTTCTTTAAAGTTTTTCAAACATTGTTGTGTTTTGAGAACGAACTTAATATTTTTTTTTTCCGTGACGATCGTATATAGATTTAACGTTCTTTTACAATAAGATAAGCCTGGCATGGCCTGGTGGTTAGGGCACTCGATTCGCGGATTCGAACCCGTGTCACCGCACGTGCCAGCCATTTCAACCGTGGGGGTGTTATAATGTGACGGTCAATCCCACTAGTCGTTGGTAAGAGACTGGCCCAAAAGTTTGCGGTGGGTG